TTTGTGATTAAAATTATAAAGTATTTAGTATTAATGAATCACAATATTTTAATTAGATTTAAATATATATAATTTTATTTGTATATAATAAAATTAATAAAAAAATTATAGAGAATGAAAATAAAGTCAACCCGCGTGTTAACCCATAACTCGTTAGGGTCGAGTTAAAGTTAAACTTTTCTAACCAGCAACCATTTATAACTTAACCCGTATAACCCGTCACCTGAGTTGACCCGACCCAACCTGCCTGTTTGCCAAGTATATTTGGGGTTGCATAAATCGAAATTAAGAAAAATGCAAATAAAGCGTGATTTGAAAAGAAAACCTGGTTGTATTTCGACAACCGCTCCCCTCTACAAGGAGCACCAGCCTTGATGCCAATAGCCAAATTGGCTATAAAGAGGAATCTATAGTTTCACCCCACCTATGTGATGTCACCACTCGCCAGTGAGCATCCTTTGCCAGTTTCACCACTTCAATAGCCTCTGTTACAGTTCCAATCTGATTTATCTATTTTAGAACAATATATAATTATTAGACAAATTTTTAAATCGTGAATCTGAAAGATTCTAAAATTTTAATTTTCAAGCATAATTTATCTTCATGTAAAATATTCATTACTCCCTCCTGCACCTAATTATATTGCTGACTTTTTATAGCAGAGATAATATCATAGCCACCTGAAGATCCTTAACGATGACATAGAAAAACATATGCGTTGAATAAAAAATTTAGTTACCTTGAGAATAAGAGAATTGCAAGCAGATTCTTGAATTGCTTTTTCAATTCTTTTTAAATTTGAATTCAAGAAGTCACCCCAACCACCTGCAAAGTGACCGGTCATAATAAGCTTTGGTCAAGTATATAGAGGAAAGACATGATATCTGAAACTCAAGAAGATACATATAGAGCTCTAGATGAACTTAATTTGGATCAATCAGGTCTTATTAACACCCAGTTACAGCAAAATTAAACTTGCTTATTTGTTTAATGATTCTATGGGACAAACTTAGAAGATAACTAATCCACAGAATTTACCACTCACAGTTTGAACAATTAAATAGTTATTCAAAGATGTATTTTTGGAAGTAGATATTCTACATAAGCCTCCAGAAGGTGGTCTGAGTAACTCCATTAATGCTTTATAAGTCATGGGTTAACAGTGGCTCCAAGAATGCATTCAAATGGCATAAGCAAAATGTTAGTAGTAAGTTAAAACAAAACAAAAATGACAAAGTCCAAGAGCACCAAAAAACTTGTTATGTTCCCAGTCTTCCTTATCAAATGGATCTTCAATTGACACTATGGCGTAATCTATTATAATTATAATTATTAATTGATAAAATAATTAATATTTATTAGTTAATAAATTAAAATTAATTAATAAATTAATATTTTTAGACGAGAAAGAATTCATTTATATGTAAATTTTATACACTACATTTATATAAAATTTTAATCATTTATCTCTTAATTTTTAAATATTGAGATTTATTATAATTTTTTATATGAAAAAGATACTCATTCTGTTCATTTTTGTAGAACTAACTTAATTTTTTATTTTTCAAAATATGAATTTTACTCGGAGATTTAAGCTCTAAATCATACTTTATACCTCTGTCAACAAGAATGAAAAACAAAGCTCAGTTGTTATAAGCAAGCAATGTCCATGCAAGAAAGAACTTTGCAGCATTCAAAGTTTCACATAAACGCAAAAGTAACATATAACGGAGACCAAGGCAGAAGATCCTCTCCTCTTAATGTCTAATGGTTTTATGTTCAACAGCTGTTGCAAGATGACGGAAAGCATTTCTCAAATAACAGCTAAAAATACTATAGAAGTTCTCTCCAATGAACCATCCCCTTTCTCACATGCTATAATTGCTATGCTAGGTGACTAATTTACAGGAAATTATGCATCATCTATGCAGAACTCAGTAGCAGCAACATCAATCGCTATCTTTATTTTGTCATTACAACCTGTTCTGCTGATAGCCTCTTTAACAAGATCCAATCCTTCTCTTAACACTGCCAGCAAGGAAAAAATCATTTAGCAGTGCCAATTACTTCTTGAAATAAAATAAACTCCATTTCCTTTGTTCAGTGGATTTTTTAAAGGGAAAGGAAAGGAGGGAGGGTGCCTATATTCATGAATAATGCAGAAAATAAATGTGAGGCACCACCATACAATTAAGCACTTCCTTGGAAATATTTAGAGCTAGACCAAATATTATAACTATTACATTATAACAATTAAATACTATAACTATTTATTTAATAAAAAATTATAAATTAATAAAATTACAGATAACAAAATCGACAATCACAATAACCATTTTTTGAAAAATACAGTCAGGTTTAAGTATCATTTCAGTCTCTCAACTTTTTACTTTGGTATCAAAATTATTCTTCAATTTTAAAAAATATCAAAATTATCCTTAAACTTTTATTTTTAGTATAAAAACGATCCTTCCGTCAGTTAAATGAAAACTAGTACGTTAACTTGCCAACAAATTTTTTTTTTTTTCTTAACTAATGACATGATATTTTTTTTATGAGTTAGCATTTTATTTTATTTAAAAATAATAATGTTTTTTTTTTTCATCCTAGTTATCTCTTCTTCCTCTTTCACTTTCTCTCTTCTTTACCTTTCCTTTTCCCTTTCCTCTGCAAACCCAGATCTACAACCTACATCTGGGTTTTCTCTCAAATTTCATCTTCTTCCTCCTTTCCTCCTTCCTTTTCCTGCTCATCCTTCTTCTTTCTTCTTCTTATTCTTTCTCTCTCTCTCTCTTCTTCCTTCTTCTTCCTTTCTCAAACCCAGATCTGGGTTTTAGAAAAAGGGAGCAATTTCATCGCCACTGAAACACCACTTTAATGGTTTCTCGTCGCATCGTTTGACTTTCCTGCTCTTCTCCGATTCCAGTTGCCGAAGTTCTCTTTTTCCTTTCTCCGCACTTGCTCTAACAAACTTCTCTGACTTGCTCCTCTGGTAAGATTTCAGTTTATCCATGTCCAAATCCAAATCAGAATCAATGTCTGACGCCAAATTGCGCTGTGTTTCCAAATCAATCGCATTCACTTGAGAGATGATCTCTTTGTCCTGGTAAACAGTCTCTTCTATCGAGAGTTCCGTAGCATCTTCCGAAGATATTGGTTGCCAATTTTCAATGTTTTTGATGACTTCCTCGTATAGTTCATCCTTGGCATTGTAGGCTTCGAGATTCTCGGTGGACAATTTGTCGGACTTGGCGAGGAGAGTAGCGATGATGGCGTTGCAGAGGAGGAAGACAAACAGATGACTAGTGATGACACTACCAAGTTTGGCAAAAAAACTCACCCCAGATCTTGATGACGAAAGGAATGCGAGCGAAGATCGACACCAGGAACACTAGGGCGAGAATCAGTTCAATTGACCGAAGAAATTTGGCTATGCTTAGGATTTGGTTGTACATGCTCATGGCTCTCGCCTTCTCCACTCTCACGGTCTGAAAATCAAAAGGAATTCATAGCACAAAGATCAAAGGGACTTTGTTGCTTTTACATCTAAAGATGAATAGCTGTATGGGGTTCGGAAATTCAAAGGAAATTTTTAAAGAAGGGGGGAAAATGAGGTTTCTGCCTTTCTTCTTCTTCCTCTCTCAAACCCAAATCTAGGTTTTTTCTCAGACTTCCCAATTTAATGCTTTTCCGTTTCTTTACCATCAATCCAAACACCCCCTTAACAATATAACCCCACTCCCCACTTTCTTTTCCTCTTTCTTTTCTCTATCATCATTTCATCTTCTCTATTTCGATAGATAGAAAAAAAATGAAACAAGGATGGCAATAACAATATTTCGTTCCAATCATTTTCTTTTCAACAGAAAAAAAAAATACCCGATCTTTTCTTCTCTACCCTTCACCCGTTTATCTCTAAATTTTTTTAGTTTCTTTAGCTGCTTCTTGTTGTTGTTGTTGTATAAAAGAATCCAAGAAATCTCAGTTTCTTTGATACCCATCTCACCAAACATGATTCGTCAAACTTTGATGAGATCGGCGTCGGTGAACCGACGGACACAGCCGCTTCTATTTGCGAACGACAGTACTAAGTCATCAATATCATCGTTGAGGGCGACAAAAGGGAGGAGGTTTGCACAGGTGGTGGGTGCGAGGACGGTAAAGTGCGTGGCGGTTTGCTGCTATTGTTCGTGCACGGTGATGGAGCTACTGGTGCTGGGGTTCTACAAGGTACCAACAGGGCTGTGCAAGAAGGCGTGGAAGAAGAGGAAACGTCGACAAATCTTGAAGATGAAGAAGCAAGGGGTGATGGGGGGAGGAAACCTAGATTTGGGTTTGAAAGAAAACCCAGATTTAGATTTGTAGAGGTAAGGGAAAAGGAAAGTTAAAGGAGAGAGAGTGAAAGAGGAAGACGAAGTGATGTGGATAAAAAAAATATATATATATATATATGTATCATTATTTTTAAATAAATAAAAAATGCTAATTTATAAAAAAATTGTTTAATTATGGTTTTTTTTTTCATGTCATTTATTAAAAAAAAGAATTGATTTGTTGCATTTTAACGTGTCACTTATTATTTAACTGATCAAAGAATCATTTTAATATCAAAAATAAAAATTTAAAAATAATTTTAATATTTTTTAAAATTAAAAAATAATTTTGATACTAAAATAAAAGGTTAAGGGACCAAAATTGGTACTTAACCTTATACAGTCACAACAACCTGTGCCCACAAATTACAGCAATGGCTTTTAAATTCATACACTTTTGAAGGTCACTTCTTCTACATGATGGGCCCACGTTCTCGTTTCTTACCCACTCTAGACCTGTCTACTAGTGGAGTAGTTGAGATTCTACAAAAAAAAAAAATGAAAAAGGAAGGAGAATTTGGTAAATTGATGTCCTATACAGAGAGAAAATTGGGAGGGAAATTTATAAAGAAATTTGACAAAAAGCGAAAGAAGGTCAACTCCAAAGCAAATGAGGGTCCCACTTAAAAGACGAGGAATGCCTCCATAATTTGAATTCCTCCAAAGTGCTCTTTCATAATTTCGAGGAGCCTTAATTCAATCAATTATTTATTAGTTTTTATATTTTTTAATTTTATTTATTATTTTTATATTCTTTCAATCTTATTTATTATTTTTTAAATTTATTTCAATTTTATTTAACTCATTATTTTTAACGAAAATCTTCCTATTCTATAAAGGCATAATTAATCCTCAAACTATATTTATTTTGATTTTTTAATCCTTAAATTTATATGTATTGTAAAAATAACTTTTATTCTTATTTTACTAAATTTTTTAATTCTTCTAGAGCTGATGCTCTACAAACTTTATAGACATATCTGTCTCATAGTAACTTATCAGATCTGTCCTATAGTAACTTATCAGTTCTATAGGATATCATTTTTTCTTTTGCCATAATTTTTGTTATGATATTAATCTGTTGATCATAAAATCTTACTAACTTTCTTAATTACATTCTTAAAATCATTGTTCCTTGGCTCTGATACTAGATTTGTAACAGTTTTCGGAGCCTAACTCAGACTACTACTGACTAATGAGTAGCTGGTATGTTAAGCTCAGTAAACGCAAAATTATATCTATTAGGTAGCTAACAAAGATAATCTTTGCTTAGCCATTTTTAATATTTTTAGATCTTCATTTAAATCTACTACCTTTGCTTCAATTTTTTGAGATTCTTGTATAGATGATAGTCATCTTCAATATTACTTATTTTTTCTAAAATTTTTACTATTTTATTTCTATAATATTTGCATTGCTGCTCATAAACTATCTTATCTACAACAATTTCTTGAATGAAATCAAGCATCTTAGAGTATAATGAGTCAATATAAAAATGGACTTTTCTATTCAAAATATAAGAGGTCGGTATTGTTTCCCTAACGTTTCTAATCTCAAAAATAATCTAATATTAAAGAATAATAAAGTTGTTTCTATGCCGACCTTGCTTCCGTATGATAAAATAAATGAGTTAGAATTTTAACTACAAATCATTTAGTCTAGCCTTCAGTCAAGCTAATGCTTCATTTGTCCAACCCTCAATGCCAAACTCAGGCTACAATGGGTATCTAGACAGGACAAGTGATTTCACTACTGCTTATGTTTCTTCAGGGATTACTCATTATATTTTATGATAGAAATAAAGAAGGATAGAAACATAAGAATTATTCTAGAACATGTTTTTATTTCTAAGAAAAGAAAGGGAAAGTTCCCTTTCCACTTGAAAGGTGTTTACAATTGCATGGGAGAAGGCTTTCAAGTAAGGTATGTGGATGTTCAAATACCTGATACCTGTTACAGCTTATAGGAGACTTTTTATAGCGTTCCTTAGAATCTTTTCTTCCGTCATTGCTGACGTTTAAAGTTTACATTATTGTTTGGTGATCCAGACTTACTTCTTGCTTTTGCTAAAGTAGATTACATGGAATCTTGTCGACACTCTTTTTTTTTTTTTTTTTTCCTTTGGTGACGTAAAACCTTACGTCTTTTTGCATTGGATTCTTTAGAGGATGATGAGATCTTCACTATCTGAGGGAGTGGTCCCTTCGTCACATGTGGCTTCAGCTTTTCCTTTTGTAAATTCTTTTTTGTAGCAAAAACCACAATGATTGTCATGCTTTAATAGCTTGCATAGTCTATTATGGACTGCTTTACTGGCTGGGACCAAATTTTCAAAGATTTCCTTTCTTTTCTGCTTTATTTTGAATAGCCTAATGCTTGTCATTAATCTTGCACCAGTGGATACTACCGAGATTTCATTAGAGAAGCCATATGTCCATGTCTTTTTCATCTCTATCATTCTATCAAAGGTCTAGAGTAAAACCTTGAATCCTAGAGCTTGTCTTTCTAGGATGAACTCGATCCCACAAAGAGACTTTTCAAAGTCTTGAAAATTTTGATCTTTATTTGCTTCTACCTTGATCTTCTTGGTTTGAATTCCAATTTGAACTATATGATGACTGGGGAAATATTGAGATTTCTCCCATTCTAGTGTTGCAAAGTAGATTTTGACAAATACTACCCTTTGAGCTTTGGTGCCAGTCTTGAAGTCTATCACTCCTTAGTGTATAACTTCTGGAAGTTCTGAAACTTTCTTCATTATTTTTTAAGAGATAAATACGATTTACAAATTTGTAATTGAAAAATTCTTTTATTGCTTTTGGGTTTGCATCCTGCATGAAATTAATTCTGGGATAACTCCCTTCATGGATAGGATGGCAATTCTCGGTGGACCTCATTGAATATGCCATTTTATAGACTCTACGGTATTCCTGTAGATATTCTTCACTTATTGTCATTTTTAACAAGGTATCTATTATTGTAACTTTCTTTTCTTTCTTTCTTGAGTAATTAGGTTGAAAGTTATGGTTTTTGGCATTTTAAATAGCCAAATTTTCAGCTTGAGATGTTGATATTTCTGAGAGAGAGTATTTGACATAATAGTAAAATTTCCCTAAACTTTCTCCAAGTAACCCTATTGAAGGATCACCTTGTTCAAAATTTTCTTTTAGCTCTTGTTGGGAGCTTTTCTTTACCATCTGGCTAGATTCTCTAGAGTTGATTTCAACAATAGTAATTATTCTAGAATTCATTAATTTTTCTATCAGCCCTTTAACTTCTTCAGGGGCATCTTGTCCCTTATTTAAAAATTCATGGCCTTTAATAATTTTTTCTTGGCCTTCATCCATGAAGTTATGACCCTCATCCATTATCTCTTGGCTTTCGACCATTTTTTTTGGCCTTCTCTTATTTGGCTATTACCTTTAATGAGTTTCTTTTGACCTTCAAGAATAAGCTCTTTTCCCTTATTTTGGAGTTTCAAGATCTCATCCATTAGCTCCTTCTCTGCTTAAGAAATCTACAAGACAATTAGTAGTTCCTTTGACATGTTCAATTTCAAAATCATATTCAATAAAGAAAGTTTGTCATCTGTTCAATTTTTTATATTCTAGCATTAAAAGTAATTTATTAAAAATAAATCCCTTAACTTGAGTATTGTCAATTCTGACCTTAAAATGTTTTAGTACTAAAAAGAAACTAAACTTTTTTTATTTCATTTTTAATAGCCAATAACTCTTTATGATTTGAATGATATCTAGTTTCTATATCTTGAAATGTACCACTAGCATATCTACAAACTTTTTCTTGAGAATTTTTCAAAGTTGCTCCCCAATAAAAATTTGAGGCATCACATTCTAAAATTAGCTCTTCATCGTCTTTAGGCAATTGTAGCCTAGGAAGGTTTTGCAATATTCTTTTAATCTTTTCACATGATTAGTGTGATAATTTCCCATTGTTGACTTTCTTTTTTCCTGAGCAATTTTTGTAGGTTCTAAATCAATTGCTCTGCATAATTTAGTATTCCTAAAAACCTTTGAATCTATTCTTTAAATTTTAATTTATTTAGAAACATTGAAATCTTCTCACTTATGTGAGGTTTGTAATTCTATTCCTGTGGAATTTATTGTTAATTCAAGGAATTCAATTTTGGTTTTTCCTATCTTTGCTTTCTTTTCAAAAAGTAGTATTCCATGTTTTTTGCATAAGTATGCAAATTTCTTAAGATGATATAAATGTTCTTCCTCATTATCAAAGAAGATTAGTTTATCATTTACAGATACTATGCAAAATCTTCTAATTGATGAAATACATTATCCATTCTTCTTTAAAATATTTTAGGTGCATTTTGCAATTCAAAAGGCATTACTAGCCATTCATAGTGTCCTATAAAAGCACTAAAAGCAGTTAATGGAATACTTTCATGAGTTAACTTAATTTGCCAAAAATCTTGATTTACAATCAAATTTTGAATATATTCTTTTTCCTCTAATATTATTGATTATAGTTTCTTTATGTGGTAAAAAGTAACCATCAAATTGAGTTTTACTGTTAAGTTGTTTGTAGTTAACAACCATTCTAGCTTTTTCTCTTTTTATTTCACTATGATTTCTAGCCATAAAGGCAGGGCTACTATGAGGACTCTTGGAGGCCTATATAATCTTTTGGGTTATTAATTCTTGAATTTTCCTTTTGAATTCTTCTCTATCTTCAAGACTATACTTCATTGGTTTGACTCTAATAATAGTTTTTGGATTTATCAATTCAATAGTCGCATAAGTTTTATCAACTTTCCATAGTTTTGTAGGGTCTTCTCCATAGTTGTTTCTTAATTCTTTTGAAATAGATTCTAGGGTTACTTTTTCTTGTGTTTTTTTTGTTATTCCACAATGTTAACGTTGGTTTTCTAACCTCTTTTGAATGACTTTTTCTATTGTCCTTACCACGTTGGCTGCAAAAAATTAATGGTTGTATTGCTCTAGTATAAGCATTATAAATTCTAGGGGCATAAAGTAAATGTCCACAAGATGTAAAAAATTTCACATATGACACAGTTTGAACATACTGCTTGAATTTGCTTAGGAAATTGTTTCCTAATAGAATGTTATTCCCATATTCATTACTTTCATAGACTCGGGGAATTATAACTTCAATTCCACCGATTATAGAGGTAACTCATTCTATTATTGTCTAATATTGAATAATAACTCCATCTATGGCTACTCCTTTCATTGTTTGAGAGGTTTTATTCCAACAATACTTTGGGAATACATTGGTTGTTGCTAGACATATCTCAAATCCTATATCCATAAAAGCATGAAAGAATTTTGTTTTGTATTCTTCATAATTGATTCCAATGGATATGTATACACTATAGATACTAGTTTTCATAGTATCTAGGTATAACTACTTCTTTTCCACTTAAGGTAATCTTCAAACAATGTTCTTGGATATTATAAGGATGTACTGATGTTAAAAACGTATTTCCTAACATCAATTTTATACTTGCAATCATTTCGGTTTCAACGTGAGCTGTTATAATGATTTCATGTTGTATCTTATTCTTAACTTATATTCTAACTTCTAAGAGGTACTTTAGCATATTCATGTACTGTGGTCACTACCCCATTAAAGTTGTAATATGTGTATGGCTTAATAAGTTCAAATATTGGTAAATGTGGGATCATATCACTATGGATATGTGTTACTCCAACTCCTATATCTATTAGGATAGAAATGTTATGCCATTCTTTCCCATCATAATAATCTCCTTTTATTTTGAAATGTATAAAGGGGATCTTTATGGTATCTAACACCATTTCATGTTTTATATTAGTTATCCTAGGTAAGACTTCTTTATTTTTCTTAGGGTAGTTTAAAGCTCCTAAGTCTATACTATTTCTATGGCTTGAGTCAGGCTTTATTTTGACTAACAGTCTTCCTAACTCATATGCCATTAATCTAGGTTTTTCCCTTTCTCCTATTAGGAGTGGTTTTTCACTAATGTCCATTTCCTATTCTTTGGGTAGTTTTATTTCAGTGATCATTTCCGGTTTCTAAATTTGTCTTATTTCAGAGAACATATGATCTAATTCAATATATTCTTTGTCTTTAAAAAGATTAGACTAATAACTATTGATTAATGCGTAACTTATCATATAGTAAATGCTATATGACATTGATCCATCTTTTATAAAATTTTCTTTGACAAATTCATGTGCTAGGCTTAATGTCTTATTGATGTTTCTATCATTAATATTTACAGTATACTTTGGATATACTGTGAACATGAGTTTTCAATAGCTAAGGTTATCTTGTACTAATACTAAGATAGCATCTTTTCTATCGTTAATTTTATTATATATTAAAGCTAGCTTTATTGGAATGTCTATACCTTCTCTAAAATGAGCTTTGATAAGGATTTGAATTCCTCATATATGGATAAATCCTATTTTTGATCTATCAGATTCTTTAATTTTTGACAATTTTGCTTTTTATTTCAACTTTAATGAGCCTTAATGAGCAAAGGTATATTTATTATTCTTGTTATATTCTTGATAAAAATGCTATATTCTTTAGTAGATATTACTTAAAAGTATCTTCTTGTTGTATTTCTAGCACAAAGACGACAATCAGGGCCAGTACGTACATGGAAGGGGTGGTGTCGGGCCAGCCGGAAAAGAGAATCTCGGTGTTGTTGCCCCAGAAGAAGGTCATGTGCATCATCCCTATGCATGGTGGATTATCCATGACCGGCCCGACCTTGTGTGGTATATGATCAACAAGATCCCCAGGCTTGTTCATGGTTTATAATATGTTTCTTTCTTATTCAAAGGTGGAAGGAAGCTAGGGTGCTAATATTCATGTATATATAGTGTGGAAGGGTTATAAAGGAGGGTGTTAGGCTGAATTTTTTTTTTTTTAATTTTTTCATTTGAAACATGTCCCGATGGAGGGATTCGATCTAAGAAATTTTTAGTAGTTTTAATTTTCGTTTCGTAATAACAGTTAATTTTTTATTTTTATTTTTATTTTTTACTTATTAAGATTATAAACTTATAGTATTATAAAAAAAGAATAAAGAAAAAAAGAAAGAAAGAAAAATTA